TGACTGTAAAGTGGTTTATAGGGGGGACCTGGTATAGGGGAGAGCCTAGTAAACCTAATATTCTTCATGTAAGTGTAGATTAAAGATAAAAAAAAGAAAGAAAGAAAAGGGGGATTACTCCTTGATAGGATAAAACTAACTGTAAGTCAATGATTAATGCATGCTTTAAATATCCTTAATTTTGATCACTTAAAGGGTGTCAGATGATTGGATATGGAGGTACACTTTTCTGATAATATTCCTTTCTCTTAAAAAAAAAAAAAAAGCAGTTCCTGTGTGGTGACCTCCAATGAGTTCTACACAGTGGTATAAAGGGCATATCAAAGTGTAGGCAAAGAGTCTGTTTGTGTTTATACAGAGGATCAAAGCCTAATTTGGCTACCCAGAAAATGAACTAAGATACGAGAGGAAGAAGAACTTCCAACATCAGCACTCTCTGGAAGAGTCATACCAGAAGATGATCATCAAAAAACCTCAACAAAGATCCAGGCGATGCCGCAGTTGTAGCTGCATCCATCCTACTGGTTCCTGGACTTGCCATTGGAATGAAGAAGGAGATATCTAAGCTGGCCTGTGCTTTCAGTAAAACAACAAATTTGACTGGATCTATACTGTTGGAACTCAACCAAGAATTAGGAGAAGTGCAAGTTGTAGTGCTCCAAAATTAGGCTCGGGGTTGATTAATGATTGTGCATTGAGCATTTACTCCCCTATACAGAATTTTATTGTTGTTAACAACCATTTGATCAATAAGTATGAGCGATGCCCTCTCAAAAAAAAAAAAAAGAAGTTAAGGCAGATCAATAAGAGGTTAGCATTCAGTTTATATTAATATGAAGCTTAGGCTAAACAGTCAAGAAATTATATTTACACAGCAGAATGAGTACGATATAAATCTTAGCAATGAAAGAATAACCATTAAATAAAATATTTGAAATGAAAGTAAAGGGAAGGTGGAAGGAAGGATAAGAATGTTAAATTCTTGTTATCTTGATCTAGGCAAAGGGTACATGAGTGTGTATAAATGTCAAAATTCATCAAGCTGTACAATAGCTTTGTGCATTTTTATTGTATGTTTTTCAATATAAAAAAGAATGCTAATTTCTTAATATTTCAAAGAAGACAATTGTCTCTAAAACTAAACTACATGGTTAAAACAAAATAAACAAAAAAAACATTTTTTGTTTGAAAATATCAGTAAGAGAGAGAGAAAACTGTATGTAAGGTAGATGATTAAAAAATATAAAGAAAGAATAAGAATACTAATAGCAATGCTTGAAATAAAAGAGGGCTTATTACTACAGATCCTACAGATATTGAAAGATAATAAGGGAATATTGTGAACTTAAAAAAATTGAATTTGAAGACTAAAGGAAATTAAAATTATTTTTTAAAAATACAGAAGTGGAAATAGATGATCTAAATAGTCCCATATCTATTAAAAATTAAAAGTCATTCTGACAAATAGGCCCCAAAACAGAATTCTAGACCCAGTGGCTTCACTGATGAATTCCATCCAGCCTTTAAAGAAATAAATCAGTCTCACAAAAATTCTTTCTGAAAATAGTGTAAGAAAGAACACTTCCTTAGCTATTGTATGAAGCTAGTATAATCCTGAGAACAAAACTAAAGATATTTACAAGGGAAGAGAATTATAGGCCAATATTCCTCATGAACATGGATGTAAAAATCCACCACCAAATCTTATCAAGTTAAATTAAAAAACATATAAAAAAAGATTAAAAAATGACTAAATGGGAATTCTCCCAGGAATGCAAGGGTGGTTTAAAATTTGAAATTCTATCAATGTAATTCATGATACAAGAGAACTAAATATACAATCATTTCAGTAAATGGCTAAAAGTATTTGGTGAAATTCAACCCCTAATTATGAGGAACAGAAGGGAATTTCCTCAATCTGACAGAGGATCAATAAAGAAAAATTACAGTTGTCATACTTAATGGCACCTTTCCCTTCAGAACAAGGCAAAGATGTCTACTCTAATAAAACTTCTATTCAATATTCCCGGGGCAGTAAGGTAAGAGAAAGAAATAAAAGGTATACAGATCAGAAATGAAGAAGTATTCTTTATTTGAAGATGACAATTTTTTACAAAGAAAATCTTAGCTAATGTACAAAATAATTACTAGAAGTGCTAAGTGAATTTAGCAAGGTTGTATACAGGTTTTCTGTACAAATAGCAATTATATTTTTGTATTCTAACAGCAAACAGAAAACAAAATTAAAAACAATTCTATATATTCAAGTGTTAAGAAATAAATTCTACTTAGGAATAAATTTTAAAAAGGCAAGGACTGAGTCACATTTACCTTCATTTCCACAATGATTAGTAGAGTTCCTAACAAATAATATATTTAATAAAATTTGTTGAAAAATGAAAGAATGTATAGTCTGTTATAACAGAGATTTAAATTAATGCCTTAAAAATATTAGAAATGGTTTTGTCCCTCCTCTATTTAATATGGTATAAGTGCACCAGAGCTCAAAGGACAGCACTCTCACGTAGGGGCCACATGTCTTCCCTTCCCGGTCTAGACCTTAGCTACTTTTGCAATCCAGCCAGAGCCTGAAATTTTGCCATCTCCTCTGTTCATTTACTATTGGCTGTATATTAATCACATGGGCACACATAGCTGCAAGGAAGTATGGGAAATGTAGTGTTTGCTCTGGGCAGATACTGTGCTCTGTGAAACTATATTACTACAGAAAAAGAGATTGGCTATTAGAAGAAGTCTGGTGATTTCTGGGACACTAGTCCTACCCTGGCAAGTACAGTCAATAATCATTTCAATTGTAACATCTTACTGTTCTCAAAGCTAACACATTTTGAAATCATCTGTAAGTTTAGAGCTCACTTCTACTAATTCACCCACTAGAATACACATAAAATTCTATTTAGCTGCTATTTTAATTTAACTGAATTACATGCAGATTATCAATTTTAATAATCAACATCCTAAAATATATTATTATGAGACCTACTGCTAAATGCAGAGCACTTAGGAAACTAAAAACCTTCACTGACCAGGATTTATGAATTACATGCTAAAACAGGAATCACTGAATAAGCTTTATGCCTGATCAAATTAATAGATTTTAGCATACTGACTCTTAAATCAGTCTCTAGAATCCTAAGGGCAAAAGGATTTATAAATCAAAACTTATTTAGGATTTATTAAGTGGATGCCTACCATAAGAATGCCACATTTATAAATCTCTTTTCTGACTTAAAAAACTAAATTGCACAAACTCTATGTAGTCAGGGTTCATCTCTAATGACCTTTTTGATGGGCATACATTGAAATGGACCCTGATACTTAGGATACACTGATTAATGATAATGTCAGAAGAAAAGACGGTTTTATTAAAATTGCCTAATGTTATTTAAATTTTAAGGGATAACTTTATAATTAAAACAACATCTATTAACAACTTTTTTATTTTATAGAGATACAGGTTAAAATATTTAGGGAAGAAGATAAATTATAAACTGTATATAAAATGACAAGAAAAGAATAATTTAACTAAATGCCAAAAGCATTTCAGAACAAGTATGTTTCAGAGCACATTAAGTAAAATTTCTCTACTATACATCCTGGTCTGTGTTTAATTCCTAGTTTGGCAAATAATTTAATGTTCAAAGTATGTAATATGTTATATTACAATATAAGATATTTGTGCTGTTTTGAATATTTTATTAAGTTCTATTTTCTTATTTATCATGTCCTGTTTAGAACCTGGCATTGCCTCCCACATGATGAAGTGGTATTACTGAAAATATTCACGTGGCTGACTCCCTCATGTGGTTTGGTGCTCCGGTATCACCTCCTCAGGGCCCCTCACCTGCTCATCCCTGACCATACATCACTCTCTATCCTTTAGGCTGCTTTTTTTTCTTTTCCCCATAGAAGGATGGTAATAAGCTACTGGAAGTTTAATTTCAAGATGGCAAAGTTAGTAAGTAATAGCACCAACAGTTGCTCTATGAAGTTTCTAGCTTCTGGTTAACATGGTACTCCTAATAAAATTAAATATGATTTACCTTACTCACATCTCAATAATGAAGGATTAAACAGATTATATAAAGTAATTGAAATAAGGATGAGAATTAGGCAACCTTTAAAGCCAAAAAAAAAAAGTGAGAAGAAATGGTTTGTAAATTTTAAACAAAATGCAAGCTCAGTAAATATATCAAGAAAACTATGCTCTGCTTAATTTTTAATTTCAGAAAAAGTTGAGGTAATGCTTCTGTGGGCTTTAATTCTCTTGATACTTTCTTAAGATGCAGTTTTAAAATACAAAATGGAAAGTTTTAAAAATACAAAATAAAATATAAAATACAAAATCATACTTAAAAAATATAGATATATATCTATATATTTCTATTATTGAGCAGATTTGGTTCAATGCCCTCTCCTTCCTCATCCCAAGGTCCAAGAATTGTAGTAACAACAATGGGCATCTCTGCTATGAAGTATGAATTCATGAAGAAAAGAAGCCAAGTTCTACAAAGTCATGAGTTAAAAATAATAGGATTTATGGAAAAAACAGAATAGAGGTAGACCAGTTCAGAGCTATGCAACTTGCTCACCAATGCCAGTGGTGTATCAGTGCTGCCTGGCGTGTGGAGCTTGTAAAATTTTGAGGACCCGTTTTAAGGAAAATACATTAGGTTAACTGCCTGTCACAACTCAGCAGAGTAAATTCCTAAATGTTTGACTACATTTTTGGCCAGAAATTCCTTGAGGTCCTCTTCACATGACAATAAAACTTTGTATTTTTTTCTAAACAGAAAAGAAAGTTAATGCAGTCTTTCTTCTAGCACAGAGGATTGAATTTTGTTTTGGGCTCTTCGATCATTTTGGGGGATCATTCTTATGTTGAGATGGCCAGTGATAACTACACGTGGAAGAGGCTGTGAATCATGTAAACATATACTAAACTTAGACTAAATGTATCCACCTTCTATTTCCTCCAGCTGGATCCCTAAAATGGTGCAGTCATTCCAAAGCTTCCGAGAGAGAGAAAAAATTGAAGTGGAAAGAGACTGGTCTAAAGAGACTCAAAATATCTTGCTTTGCAAGTGGTACAAAAATGCACAACCATGTGACTGCACCCTCTTAGATGAATGAAGGGGACGTGCCAGATAGAAAGCTTCATTTGTGCCAGAACAGAGTCCACTTGGCTTAGAGTACTCCAGCAACAATAATGGATATGCAGGAAGTAACTTCCCCAGATCTGGAAGGAAGCTCACTGTGGCCTGAGGCTGCCTCCGAGGATATTGAAAAGGCACAAAAACATTCTGGTGGAAATGCCAGCTTGCCAACGCTGAGAATGCAGGTGGAAGTGCAATCTGCCAGAAGTCAAGAGCTAAGCAAGGCTGAGGGTGCTTTTTTCTGGTTAGGAACACCAGGTGCAAGCACATATTTTTGTTTTTCTTAAAATAGAGCAAATAAGGGTCCAGTCTGTGCAGTGCTTAACCTAAGCGTTTTGTCCTTTCTGGCTGAACACTGTATTCCATTCCCACTTTTTGACTCCCTTTGCCAAGGAAAAATCATGTTGAAACCAACACAAGCTTCCCTGTTGCAGTAACACCATTCCCTGATTTTATCCCGTGTATGAGATAATTGGTGTAATAAAGCATATATTGGAGAAAATAAACAGTAGCTAATAACTACTGAACATTAGCACTAAGTGGTTCATAAGTATTAATTTATTTATTCCTTGTAGCCAATCTTATGGCACAGATTCTAATCTTATCACCAATTTTACAACCCTATATTGGGTAGAGGTATATAGCTTTGTAAATTTTACTGTTCGTGGCCTTACTGAGAACTCACTGGTCTCCCTTCTCTATTAAGTTATTTTGATTAAACATAAGAAAATCTTCAGATTCTGTTTCCAATATTCTTGAATATGTTTACCATAATAATTTGAAATAAGCATTTATGTAACTCTATGTAAGTGTAATGAAATTATAGTTTATGATATGATAGATGGATTATCTCTCTTAATGTGAAGGATAATAGGAAACCAAAATGAAATGTTTTTGATATGGTTTATTCAGACCAGTGTGGCCCAGACGCTGTTTGTTCTAGAATCTCCTAGTGGGAGGTAGTTAATAAAAATATGTTTCTTGCCGCCATTTTGGACGTACTGACCTTGAATTTCTAGATTAGATCCTGGGAAAATACATTTTTAGCAAGCATTCCCAGGTGATTCTCACATATACTAAAATTTAGGAACCTCTAATTTAAATTAATTTATGTGCTGTGAAATTTCTTCTTTTTGCTGAACAGACATAAATAACGTCCGCTGTTTATAATCGCAATACATTTAAAAACTTGAATGTGATTTAAGAAATTAATATGTTTTTGTATCTTATGTGCTAATATAGTTTAAAAGTGTTATTTGAAACCAACGATGCAGTACAGGAAGAAAAATACCCTACAAACTCATGCAGATCTTTAGATTAGACCATCGATTAATTGAAACACCTGGGGTTAGTCTTCCTAACAACATAATAATGGAAAGAAGAACAGATTTTCCTGGCTTTGTATAAATCGTTTCAGGATAAGCTCTTTTCCCTTATGAACTACGTGAATCTGTGGGCCTTGCAGTTGTGTGTGAGCTCTCCCTTCTCATGAATATTCAGGTTAGAAGAAAAAAGCCAGGATCATTCTTTTATAAAGTTTAATGAATTTTCTAAAATGTATGAACATAGTTGAGCCTGCCAATGATTAGAGAATCTTGGTTTTAATATTATATCATTTTCCCTTCCAAAATTCTCTTCCACATTTCATGAAATAGTATATTTCTCTTAATAAACATAAATGTAAATTAATTATTTTAGTCATTCAACACAAAATTTAATTATCAACACTTAATTTTCTGTTGCTTATGTCTTTGTCTTTGTTCCATGTCACCTGCAGGCACATTCTCCAGCCAGTATGTTAAATTAATATTTCTACCATCACTGCAATGAATTTTCAGTGCACAAGAAAAAAATGTATGTTTGCATCATCTCCTTAAAGCTCTCATTTCCTAGTTAGGGTGTTTATACATAAAAATGCCAGGGATTGTCAAGTTGTAGACTGATTTAGAATTTGAATAAATGTAAGCTCCTATGGTATTATCTGCAATTCACTGACATGATTCATAATTAAAAATAAACTAGAAAAAGGGAAAATGTAAATAATTTTATTTAACCTTTTATGTAAGTCAGCATACCCATATTGTTCTTTTCCCTTGAAAGCTGAGTTTCAACAAACAAGATTAGTTTATTTGCTGGTTATAAAAACAAAATGCCAAAAGTTTTAATTTCTCCTTTAAGTGTTATGCCTTCTTGATTGATTGACCCTTTTCTCATTTTGCAAAATTATTTTTATCTCTGCTAATAGTCTGTGGTCTGGACTCTACTCTGTCTTATATTAATGTAGTCACTCTGGTTTTCTTGGCTAGCTAGCACATTGCTTCCCCTGCCCCCCACAGCCAGCTTTACAAATGTATAGCTGACAGTAAAAGATCATTTATCTTTAAGATATACAACTTGATGATTTGATATGCATATACATTGTGAAATAATCACCACAATCAAGGTAATTAACATATCCGCCACTTTACATGATTACCTTGTGCCATTGTCTGTAAGGAAACATAAGATCTACCTCTTATCAAATTTAAATTACACAGTGTAGTATTGTTAACTATAGTCTCATTGTTATACCTTACATCTCCAGGAGTTATTATACATAACTGTAACTTTGTATCCTTCAGCCAACATCTTTCTATTTTCCCCTCCCATACTTTGAACCTATCTATACTTTTACTTTACCTATATTGTAGTTGAAGTGAGCTTCATGTAGTTAGGATAATTTCTGTTAGTTAAAATAAAAATACCTTTTTTGTCCTTTAGTTGGTAAGCTTGATCAATGTAATTACTGATATTTTTGGATGTTGCTTTGCTATTTGCTTTCTGTTTGTTTTTCACTGATTCCCCTTCCTGCTTTCTTTTGATTATATTGCACTCTAGGGTTTTTGTTTTTATCTCTTCCGAAGATGCTCTAAGGATTACAGAATAACTACTGAACTTTCATCATTAGTAAGAATCACTTTTATACCACTTCAGTTGGAATATAGAACCTCACACCATCTTTGATATCCCTTTGCCCTCTCCCCTTTATGCTATGGCTGCATTATATGTTACATTTACCTCCACTGAAAACACTCCATACGATGGTATATCTTTTTAACATTCAATAGTCTAACATATTTTAAAGAATGCAAAATGGGGGAAAATTGGCATTGTATTTACCCAGATATATGCCAGTTTTGCTACTTTTCCTTCCTTTATGATATTCCAAGTTTCTTTCTGGTATCATTTGCCTTTTTTCAGAAGAACTTTCCTTAGCAATCCTTTTAGATCAAGCCTGCTCACTAAAGATTTTCTTGATTTTTCCTAATTGGAGAATGTCTTTATTTAACCTTTATTCCTGAATGATATTTTTGCTGGTTATAGAAGTTTGGATTGACAGTTACTTCCTTTCAGTACTTAAAACAATGTGGCATTTCTTTGGCCTCCATGGTTTCTGATGAAGAAATGTGGAGCCATTCAATCATAGTTCCCTAATAGGTAATCTGTTGTTTAGTTTTGGGCTGCTTTTTTCTTTAGTTTTCAGTAGCTTGATTATGATATGTCTGGGTGTGGATTTCCTTAAGTTTATCCTTTTTGAAATTTATTGAGCTTCTTGAACCTCTCTTTCACCAAACTTGGAAAGTGTTTAGCACCACACTCTTTCTTCTGGAACTCTGAAGATGTAAATCCTAAACCACTTGTTACTGCCTTACAGATCCCTAAGACTTTTTTTTTCTTCAGTATTTTCTCTTTGTTATTCATGTAGGATAATTTCCATTGCTTTGTCTCTAAGTTTATTTATTCTTTATTTTGATATCCCTGTTTTTCTATTGAGTCCATCCAGTGAATTTTTTAAACTTTGGTTTCTGTATTTTTTGTTCTGAAATTTCCATTTGGTTCTTCATATTTTCTATTTATTTTATCTATTTCAGTCTTTTCAGTCTTTTCAAATAGTGAAATTACTACTGGGGTTTTCACAATAACTGCTTTAGAATGTTCATTCGGTAATTCCAGTGTCTTTGCTGCTTAATAATTGTGTTTTGCTTTGTGAGTTGAGATTTCCTTGATTCTTTGAATGCTAGGTGATTTTTAATTGTATCCTAGACTTTAAAAATATCATGAGAGACTCTGGATTTTAAGTCTAGTGAAATTTTTTTTTTTTTTTTAGCTGGTATGATATAATGAATCATAAGAAATACATATTTGGTCATTCATATGACCAAACATGTATTTCCTAGGTATATTTGCTCTTCATCCACAGTTTCTGAAAACGCTGCAGTCTTAAAGGTGAAACAGGTGTTTTGTCATGTTAATGAGAGACTTGGCCCACTCCCACCCCCACCAACCCAAGGACAGGGGCTGGAGGTTGAATCAGCTAGTGGCCAATAATTTAGTCAGTCATGAGTATGCAATGAAGCCCTCACAAAACCCAAGAAGAGGTTATCATTCTCTACTCTCTAGGATGCTGCTTCTCTGTTCAGGAGAGTTTCTGCACTTGGGGAACCAGAACACTCCCATGTGTCACTGAGCCAGGCCCCAAGCTCCATTAGGATAGACGCTCCTTTATTTGGGACCTTGCCCTATGTGTCTCTTCATCTGGCTGTTAACTTGTATCTTTTATTAAACTGGTAAATGTAAGTGTTTTCCTGTGTTCTGTGATCCACTCTAACAAATTAACCAAATCTAAGGGGGAGATCGTGGGAATCTGCAATGTACAGCCAGTAGGTCAGAAGCAAAACTAACTGCCTGGGGCTTGTGACCACCTCTTGTCTAGAGTTGGGGATGGAGGGTACTCTTATAGGACTGAGTCCTTAACCTGGGGAATCTCATGCTATCTCTGGGAAGATAGCATCAGAATTGAATTGAATTCTTGGACACCCTGCTGGTGTTCAATAACTGACATGTGGGAAGACCCCTTGCCACATACTTACACACACTAGAATTGGGTCTGGGAATCCAAAAGGAGTTATACTATTATTATTGCTCTGTATAATACTCTTATTGTTGTTTATATATGTAGGAAAAGATACAACAGCAGCAGGCAATCAACCAGATTCAGTTTAGACCACAAGTTCCAGTCAGACTTCTGTGGGTTGTGGCTTCAAAGTCCATTTCAAAGTCTTTGCAGTTATGTTTGGATCTGTCCCATGTGTATACCACCCAACTGCCAGTCTGGGCCCTGGTTGGTTGTCTGTCAAACATTCAGTTCTCAAGTTCTGTGGTGTACTGTTTAGGTTCAGATCCATGCATGTATATCTTGAGACTGTAGGGAAAATGGAAGTTCCACGGCCAGGGTACTCACCTGAGCCTAATCTACTCACCCACCATGTATGTGTGATGATGGAATACTTAGCTACTGTGCAGGCACATGCCTGCAGACATGCTGGCAGTAAGCCATTACTGCCTGTGTTGCTGTGGAACAGGTTGTATGGGAAAGCAGAGCTGGGAGAGGAGAGCAGAGCCTGGAGCAGAGACAGCGCCTGAGGCGGAAGCTGGGGAAGAGGCAGAGATGGAGGTGGATGGGATTCTAGCACTTGACCTGTCACAATGAGAATAAAGCTTGGCATAAGCCCCTTTTAACCCCTTTTCAGTCTCACTGAATCCAGAGTCAACTTGCTCGGGGCTGAAACACCCTTGGGCCTGGAGCTGTGAGATGATTCTGGGAGTTCACAAGTTTAGGGGTCACTTCCCTGAGTTCCTCTATCTCCCCAGTACTTTCTGGCCCTCTGG